TGCATGGAAATGAAATAGAAAAGAGCAAGCTGTGAGGCTGAATAACTTGCATGCAGAGTCCCTGGGGGAATACTGCTCCTGCCAAGCAAGGACAGGAAAGGAAAAGTGGCCTTGCATTTAGGACAGAGTTTGGAATTTGGAAACCCATGTTTGGGTCCTGGTTTTGCTGAAGAACTTCCTAAGTCTGAGCAAGTTCTTCTGAGAGGACATGGCGGCACAGTCAAAAATGAAGTTTTAGCACTTTTTTACCTCTGGGATATACCACTGTCGAGGCTAGAGAGATGCTTGAGTGTCAGACAGTGAGACCAGAGAAATCTTATCACATTCAGTCAATCCATTTGTTCCAAAACTGAGCCAAAACTCTTGGCTCTTATGTGAACAAATGTTCTTGCCAGGCAGTTTCAGCACAATGGAAACCTTCAGAGTGAGGCAGAGCTAGAACCAGTCAGAGAGGTGTGAAGAGAGTTTGTAAACATGTCCTCCCAATTACATTGCCATTTATAGAGAGCAGTGAGTGACCAGGGTAGCTGGGCAGCATAAACACATATCACACATATTATAAACCACAACACTATACTATGAAACCCCAGTTAGGATTAGGAAACCCAAATTAGTTTCATGCATTGCTTTTAGAAGACTTTTTGATCTAGCATTCAGCTCCAATACCCATGTTTTAATAATGAATAGGAATTATCTGAAATCTGGAAAACCTGTTTAAAGGTGAAAGAAATGCAAGTTTCTTTTCCTGAATTATAGCTTGATCTCATATGATGCAGGGGAGAACATGGGGCATAGGGACAATATCAGAAGACTCCTTACTTCAGTTATTAGTCACAGGCACAGCCTGGATGTTTATTACCTTCCTCCTCCTCCCTCCCCTGCTTTGTCCAATCTAGAGGTGAAGTGTCCTGGTTTGGTTTTGTTTTTCCATCAGGGAGGGTCAAGAATTTTTTAGTTCCAAGGTGCTTGATTCCCGACCCCTTGAAACCACTGCACTGAGGTTAACTGCCTCTGCAACAAAGGTTTCTCAACTTGTGCATTGCAAAACCAGGGGAGATAGGGGAGGAGAAGGGAGTGAGGGGTCAGAAAGGCAATCAGGGGTGTTTGTAAGGCATTGAAATGTTATTACAATCCAAGGCCAAGAAAATCTTGCTATTCTCCTCCCTGTACCACCTTCAACTCCAAGGTCAAATACTCCCTGCCAAGTTCTCAGAAAACCTGAGCACAAACATGTTAGAGAGACTTCACCATGCTATCACCAGCAGATTTTTCACTCTTACTTTTATGGAGAGTCACAAAAATGATTGACTTCTAGAAAGGGGTTATGACCTAAGAAGGCTGAGAAATCTTATACTTGCTGAACCTGAAATTAGGGGCTAGTCTGAGCCTTAATTCAGTGGAATGCTATTAAATAAGCCATAGAGATATTACAGCTGAGGAATTAATTCCATATTTAAACACTCACATAACTTTTAAACAGGAGTAAAAATTGAGATGAAATTGCACAGGCGATTAAGCAATTTTCTGAATCAGTTTACTTGTTTATTGTTGGATGTTTGTTTTGGTATGTTTTTTCTTAAATTTATACAGTCAGTTTTTAGTCATACCGATGTGAGAACATGGACAGATCTCCCCTAAATGTAAAACAAGTAAAAGAAAGTATATGCCTCCATTTTCTAAGAACTGAATGCAGGGACAGAGTGCTATAAAAATGCAAGTGGCACTGGAAGATCTGTGACCGCATTTGAGCACCATTCTCAGGAGCAGCAAGTGAAGAAATTAAATGCAAGGTATGAGGGATCGCTGCCCCTTCTAACAGGGAAATTTTTGTGCAAAGCACCATCTTCCTAGATGGGTGCCCGGCTCTGGCAGATCTTCATGAAGCACCTCAGGGGTCTTTCCACAGATATGCAAGGAGCACTGTGGGTCATGCAATTTAACCCTGGAAGTGGCTCAATGTGGAAAAGGTAGGAATTTTCAAAGGCTTTTTCTTCCTTACTTGCAGCTTCTCCCCTGTCAGCTGAGAAAATTTTACATGCTGCTCTGTTATTCCTTTCACAGGGTCTTAAAACAGTCTAAGGTGCTTGTATTCAAAGATGGGAAGAGCACTGTAGGAGCTTGTTGAATCCCCACCTCAAAGACCCTAAACCAGCAGTTTAAATTAATTAAGACTATGAGCCTCTTCTATATCCCCCTCCCATTCTTCACCCACCTTTCTACCCTGGAGCCAATCCAGTCCTCTACCCTTCATCCTGGTTCATTTCAACCCTGGAAGAGAGGGAATGTCAGGCATGGGAAACATCACTGCTTCCATGAATGGACAGCTGCTGCTTTCAAAGAGGGAGCTGGAGACACAGAGGAACACGGTGTCATTTGTTGTGGCTTCTGCTTCAGCAGCCTTTAGATTGCCCCAGATTTGGCAAAAAATCACACCCTGGGCCAGGATGTGACAAGATGTTTGCTTCTCCATCTGCTGGAACAAGGATGCCTGTGTGCTGCCCAACCTGCTGGCCCTTTTGCACAATTCCTTTAGAAACCTGCTGCACATCTGTGTGGGGATGCACTGAAGTCATTACCAGCAGACTGGAAAATGTGCAAAGGCCAGTATTGTCTTCTGGGCCGCTGCTCCATTTTGAGTGAATTGCACTTTAAAGAGATTTGAGGCTTCTTGAATGTGTTCATCATGGTAAAATTATAAAAACTGACAGTGCAAAGACAGGCAGAATGATTTCATTAGGGCAACACACATACTAATTTCTATCTGCATCCAGCAAGTTCCAGGGATTGGTAAGAGTACCAGAAGAGTCCTTCTATTCACTCTTTCAGTACCTGCAGATCCTTGTGATCCTTTAGCACAGACCAGTTTTTCCTCCTCAACTTCCCTGAACTGATAGAGTGCAACAGTCCTTCCTTGTCCCACCTGTAAATTGCATCCTTACCCCCCCAGCCTAGCTTGTAAATTGGGTGCTAACTCTTCCCTTGCTCTTCACTTCTTGTGACCCTCTGGGAGAGCAGCTTTAGGCATCTGCCCAGAAACCACAAACCAGGCTGTGTGAATTTGCTTGTAAAACTGAGCAGCACATTATCTCTGGCAGTTACTATCAAAGTGTGTGACTCGTCAGGTAAACATGGGAATCCAGGCCCTTTATCTTCTGTGCTGGAGGAAATTTTCAAAGAAGGGCTCTCAGAGCCTCACTGTCAGTCTTTGCAGTCTGGGATGGAGCCAAGGGCAGGAAGGTTTGGTGCAATGGGAGCGCTTGGCAAGTAGAAGAAAGGTTGCTATACACCAAAAAGAGCATCCTGAGCATTAGCATTTGTCTTGTAGGCAGAAATGGGCTGCAGGAAGAAAACCAGGTGAATTTCTATCTTCTGATTCAATCTATTTGTTGTATCTGCAGCCTGAGGAGAGCAAGCTGATGCCATGGTCTTTGCCCCATCTCGTGGATTACTGCATGCTGGGAAAAATGATGGGAAAGGTCTGCCTTAGAGTCAGACTCACCTCATATACTGATATTCCTGTATGGCAAAACTTCAGTCATTAAGAAGTGTCCATCTCTGACCCTCAAGTACAAGAGAAGACCCATCAATAGAAAATGATTAAGACAGAGTATCTGGCATCCAGCAGCACTGGGAATGGCCCAGTGAAAGTAATTTCTGAGAAATTAAATAAAAATCTGCCAACAAAAAGGAACATGACCATTAAAGTGGGATTTAACACTGAGGAGAGAATCAGCCAGCTACAAGAACCTTATAAACATACAATTGCAAGGACCCAAAGAGAAGGGAGAATTTCTTCTTGCCTAGGGAAATTTGACCACATCCTTTAATAGTATCTTCACAAGTCTTAATAACAGCAACTTGTGTTCAATGCCTTTCATCCTGGAGGAACCCAAAGAACTTTACAAGTGACTTAGCAAACTATACAACAATATTCACCCCCTCAAGACTGAAAACTGACTGGAATTGGCAAGCTTTCCCTTTTGGTTTCCAGGGTTCCATGGCTATTTCTCTAGGCCATTGCTTTTATATCTTTGTTTTGCTTTAATAGCAAATTTGATAGTATGGGAAAAAAGGCAGCTCTTTTCTCAAGGACAGCTGCAAGAATATAATCAATTTTGGGGGGTCAAGAAAGAAAGAAAAAGACGTTTCTTGTCACTCCAACACAAAAAAAATATAAGTTTTGTTTTCCAAAATGGGGGGGCTCCTAACATCAAAACAAAAAACCCCACTTGAAGAAAACACAGAATATTTAATTTGCTGTGAATTAAAGTCTTTTCTTGATGTTTTCTGAAGACTGAAGTTGACTCAGCTGTAAAACAAATCAGATTTAATTTGGTAAATGGAAATGAAACTATTTAAATTTCAAAATGCAGTTTTTCTTTTGGACACAGCTTTAAAAAAATAAGAAAATCCATGTCACCTGGTGCTTTTCTTTGCCCAGAACTTAAAGCAGTACCTAGACACAGCCTAAGGAGGGGCCAAGTACTTCAGTTCCTACTCTGTCCACCCAAACTAGCAGCAGCACCTTCAACAGACTAAAAAGGTCTTTTTCCTCCATGAATTCATTCAGTTCACCCCTCATTGGAGCTGCATAAATTTTACTGTTCACAGCATCCTCTGGCCAGGGGTTACACAGCTTCTGCATTGAGCACAAAAGTACTTTGTTTTGATTGTTTCAGTTTCCTCTTGATAATTTTCTAGGAGCAGAAGGCATTGAACCAAAGAGTGCACAATCATTCCTTTCTCACCACCACCATGCCAACAGCTGCTTTTCTCTTTCCATGGGGAAAGCCTGTGTGTGCATGGTCTCTGCTCCTGCAGAGGTGTTGAGCAATTGCTTTGGCTCTCTCCTTGTTCTTGAGAAACTATAGTTTCTATACTATTACTGTAGCAGGAGGCTGAACTTTATAACCAAATGTGTACAGGGGACCTGTGATTGAATATATTTTGTTTATGCACCCCAGACTGACCTTCCCACACCACTGTAGGAATAGCTCAGATACCTAAGACACAGACATGGGGCAGACACAGGACCTTATTGTACTGCCTGCAGTAGGAAACACAGCTTCTTGGGGATCATGGGTATGATGAAGGACAGCAGAAGACACGCACTTCAGAGAAAATGGCATCCAAATTGTACTATATGCACAGTATGCATACAGGCACTCATTTTGATCTCTGGCAGTTTCCTCTTACTATAACATCTGAGTGAATCAAAAGTGCCCACATTTTGTTCCCTTGCTACAAACAGGACTGATGGAAGTCAGATGAATTCTTCAGATTAATTCCTCTGGTGATCTTACAAGAGACTGGAATATACCTTAAAGGTCTGTTGGATCACCAGATACTGAGCTCAAGAGATACTCCTCACACTTCTGGAGCAGAGCTGATGAAAGCTGATGACCTATAAAATGGAAAGGAAAATCCTGTCCCCATTCCTCCCTTAAAAAAAAAAAAAAAAAATTGAATTGAATTCAGAGGTATTGAGAAACACATTGAGCAGAGTGGAGGAAGAAAACAGCTTGCTCATCCAGCCTTTATAAGCAGCTGGGCTTGAGCTGAATGGGCTTCTACTGTGCTCTTTGTGTAATAGCATATTATAAAAACTTTATTAGAAGGACAAATTTAAGCATGGCAGGAGGAGAAGAGGGAACAACACCCTGAAACCTTGAAAGGTCAATCAGCTTCTTTAGGAGGGAGATTTTAAGCCTTCCCTTACACATTTCTTTAAAGTTTTGGATATTTTCCTCTACTGATTGGAAAGTTTAAAGCAACAGGAAAAAGAAAATATAAAACTAGCAAAAAACTCACCCTAGAGTGCAACATCCTTTTTTGAACTCAGCCTGAGATAGACCTCAGTTATAGGGCAGTTGGAGCAGGAGAGGGCTACGTGCTCAAAGAGATTCTTCACAAAAAATATCTTACTCAGACTTGTTCATGTTTTCTATTGACACAGAGGTAACAAGAAGAGATTCAATTTTAAGTGGGATCACCAACAAAAAACATAAGCTGAGAATTTAGAAAATGTGCATCAGCTGCTGAAAAACACATAGGGACTCCTTCTTACTTCAATCACTGTTCCTTCATTTCAAATCTGATGCAGAGACCATGGAAGCTCCACTATTTAAAGCTTTAAGTAGCCAACTTCAGACACCTGCCTTTGTTTTCACAGATGGCAAATATCAAAAGGCAAATCAGCAGCTATGGTGGTTAGAGGATTAAACACAAATTTTAAGACACTGAGTAATCACTGAAATCCCAAATCACAGGTAATTCAGAAAAATCAGAGTTTCATTTCATTAGTCCCTGTATTTATCGACTCAAAAATAACAGTTATGCTAATTGATTGCTTTCAGCTGCAAAATGTAAGCGTTAAGTGAACTTTTCCCAAAGTGCTGCATTTCAGAAATTAGGATGTCTACTGTACGTAGGGGAAAACCTGGTCTGGTTACAAAGCATGGTGTTACACAAAACCTCTTGCTTCCCTTGAGCTTTTGTCTTGGTAGCAAAGAGACTTTGGTGTGTGTTTCAAGCTGACTTGTTAACAGAATTAAGCCTGTCTGTTTTGAACTACTGTGACTTGAGGAAAAACAGATCATTATTTTTTTCCCCCTGAAGTTAGGAACAGAGAACTTGGGTGGATTGCCTAGGTTACCATGCCCTGTCTCCACAATTGCAGCAGCTCTTCAATAGCTTTTTACTTAGGGGGACTACAAATCTTCTGATGTTCCCACACAGCACAGGCTGCAGGATTCTTCCAGTGCACAGCAAAAGGGAGACTGTAGGAAAGGCTGGGAAGCTGCAACAACAGCTAACAAAAGCTGTTAGCTGTCCATGAAGGACATTGCAAAAATCCTGTTCTAAAAAATAAATTTGTCATATGATACTTGGAAAATAGAACTTGTCCTTTTCTACAGAGGAGAGTAAAAGCAGATTTGAGCTGCGGAAAAATTCACCTCTCTTCCCAGTCCCAGCAACTTGATTAACTGTAAGCATCTGAGCCAGACACACCCAAGGCACAATGAGACTGATACAAATAGAGCGTGTACATGTGCCCAGGAATGTTCTCTGGCACTGAAATCAACTGGCACTGAAATCAACTGGCACCAAATAACTGGACTGCCGCGTCTCTCAGACCCCCAAAATAGGCTGGCTACCTGAACACTGCCTTCTGTGAAAGGTTTCTGGATCAGCCTCTGAACAGCACCTGGAAGTAAATTTTGGAGAGTATTAGCTGGCACGGGCAGAATGCTGACAGGGATACCATGTAATGTGTTGTACCATTGAGCAGAAGGATATGAGAATTGTGTGTAAGAATATGAGCAATCACATTTCAGTGCCTGAGAATATTTCTAATAATTCTTTACTTTTCTGGTATTAAGTCTCTTGGAAACTTTTGAATGGATTTAGTTATGCACTTTGTTTAATTTTGAGCAACTTATTAGTAGAATTTTTTTTTTCATTAAACCTGCTCACCATCAGTACTTGAGGTTAGAGATCCAAGCTGTTATTACTCAATATATAGGTTTTGTGGCAGTGCTTGTGTGTGGCCCATAGTATTAGCCTCCAAACATAAACACAAGTAATCATAACAATTTTTCACTCAGTGGCTATTTTGTAATATTTATGTAAAATTTCATTGACCTATAAAATGTTTCTCAGTAAGTAAAATTAATACCCTTGAATAGGCAGGAAGTAGACCCCAAACAGATTTGAAGAAAAAAAACCAGCCAAGTCATTCAGGCACCTCTCTCTAGTAAACACCAACCAGTTCCATGTGATTTTGGCCAACTTCAAATACTTAACATGGTTCAAATGAGACAACTATGAATCTGGCATTCCTTTGTTAATCCCATGCCCCAGAAGACTTCAGCAAAGCCATTTTCAGATTCTGTACTCTGGTCCATATGCCGTACCTTCGTTTTGACTCACAGATTTTGGTACCTTCAGAGTTTTAGTATACACCACAGCTAGCAAAAGAATTCTTGCCTAGAGACTTGATGTTGCCAGAGTACCAATAACAATAGCTGCCAAAAAAAGCCTGGAGATTCCAGAATGGGAGTTCCCTGACAAATGAAACAAATAGTCTGGTGGGTGCCAGACTCAAATAAATGACATTTGATTCCTTCCAGGTGTGTGCCCTCTACCAGTAAATTCTCCTGATAACAATTCCATTCCCCTCATCTCAAACCCCCACAATACCTTCATATTGTCACATCCTTGAAACTTACCACACCTACCAGTTCACCCGTATGTTTGTTAAATCTTCCTTCCATGGTCTTCTGTTAGCAGTGGGAAAAGTATCAATATATCAATGTACAGGGCATGTACCAGCTGAGTAGTCAGATAAAAAAATGAGAAAAACACACCACACACACACACCCACCCACACATAACTACTGAACAGTATTGCAACCTTTTTTTTTTCATAACAGGAACTTTTATTACAGTTTTAGCTATACACAACAACAAATTTTCACTAAAATTTATGTAACTTTTCTCTGAAATCTCCACCTCTGACAAATTTCATACAGCTAGGCTAATGACTTAAAACTATTGTGAGAATATAAAGGTGAAAAGACAGACAAGCAGAGAAAAATCATTAAAAATTTGCTTCTTTATGGTTTTATATTCTAGAGCTTTCCGAGATTCTAAATACAATTTATTTGCCAGCAAGTAAGTAGGAAACAGTTAGAGGAAAAGTGACTACCAGATAGTGTTTATGAGGTCTCCAAGCAGTCTGTGTGTGTGTGCTTGTGTGCATTCCCACCCACCAAGGGACACCTATCTGAAGAGCTGTATTAAACCCCATGTCTGACAAAAATTGCAGATGCACTGAAAAGAGCCAAGCCCCAGCAGATTTCTCTCTTCCCTGCTGCTCTCTCTGTCTTCAGTTAACTCTGGATGCAGCCTCCTGTTACATATTTCTGGTTATCAATTACAAACAGAAGTCCATTTATTTTCTGGAAAGAAAAATATTTTAGATGCAACAAGGAAGTTGCTGGTTGGGGTTAAACCACAGAGTTGTCTCTTATGAAGTTGTGTATATAAGCTGCCAGAACAATCAGTTCTGCAATTCTAATGCTTGTAAACTAGGGTTACAATAAATTTTGGTTTAAATCTGGGAATGAGATTCATGTTATAACTGTAACTCTGGAAGACATTCATGGAGTCATCTTTGCCTGAGGTTCAGCCTGAGGTCTTGAAGATGACCTGTGACACATGAACTGGACCCAAGTCCTTCATGATCACCCAAGAGGCAGCGAGTTATTCCTCAGTAGTAATTCCAATTTAATTCAAGTGTATTTTTATCTAGATATCTTGGCCTTTGTCCTTAGGACTCTTTACAACTGTTGTACTCCATATCATTTCCTTGAAGAAACTGCGCTGGAAATCAAGAAAAAACATGACCCTTCACTACTGAGATGTGCACAGTCTTCTTAATTGCATTTTATTTTTAAAAAAATTTACAGTGAAAATATTAGTGAAAATTAAAGGTAATAAGAGAGAAAGAAACAAATAGAAACAAAAGCTTCCTTGACTTTGATCTAGAAACCAAGCAGCCTTGGGAAACCTGAATAATACATGCACTTTGTTTTCAAAGACCTCCAAACAGAGTATGGACTGCATCAGAAGTTATTCTGCCAGAAGAAAAAATAAAATGCTAAAGCCAATATATGTCAACGGAGCAAGCCTGTTAGTCATAACATGCATCCCAGAGATCATAGCTGAGTATGTCTTCTGCTTAAAAGAAAAAACCCACTGTACACTGTATATTAGGTTCTGACAAAAGAGGTCCAATTATAATGTTTTCCACCCATTTAAAGATTTATTTTCATAGGGCCTCCACAAAATTTCCTAGCTGTTAGAAGACAACATAACTGGAAAAACTTGTCCTGAACTCAGCCCAGTTATGACACAGCAGCACACAAACTGTAGTTATCAAAGGGATGTAACAGAAGAAACAAAACTGACATCTGCACACCAATTACCAAACACTTTATCACTTTGCCCAGGCTATTGTTTAGTTTTGCACAAGAGGTACCACTGCTCTCTTCCTCTGGTGCTAGAAGAGCTCTGTAATAAAGAAAGCTGGAGTCTGCTGCTTTGGGAAGTACATAATTGCTTTTCACACCCAGGCACAGCACAACAATTGTCTTGCAGCCTCAGAATGAGAAAGTCAGTCTTCCTTTGCCTTTTTTCAGCCTATCTCAAGATGACAACATAGACTTGAAGTTCCTTTTTGGACTGAATATCTCTCTATCTTCTCTAGAGCAAAGTGGGGTGGTATCATATCTGTCCTTAAGGCTGGCCCATGAGAGCTTGTCACCATTGATGGCTTGTTCCTTCAAGGAACACATAAAACAGCAGTCTTTGGAAAACATTTTGTATTTTCCCAGTGAACAGTAGCAGACTACGGTAAACTCAGGAGCCTCCCACCATCCCAGCTTTCTGCAGGGGTCTTTCAGCAGCAGGCAGTGTTGAGATTCAGGCTGGGCTGGAACCTGTTTGCTACAGAGCAGCCTCACACAGACTGGTCAGTTAGTTGTGCTTCATAGAGCAGAGCTGCTTGTAAGATCTGGTTATATTCATTCCATCAAAACTGTTCTCGTTCCCTCTGTGAGAAAATTGAAGTTTTGCCTCAATGGAAAACTGGATTGTGAAGGAATCATTTGCTTTCCATCAAGAATACCAACTTTTGTCAGTCACTGCAAGCCTGCCATAAGGACATTTTCAGTGGACAGCCACAGCCTCCAACAAAAACAACATATTTCCACATTACTTAAATGAAACATTTAATTTCATTTGCTTTATTAAATTCAGCCACTGCCTCTTCAGGTGCCACGGTGTCTTGTGAAAATTGTGGTTTGACAGTTTCACACCCCACTCTCCCCTCTCCAACAGGCTCTCTCCCGATGACCAAAGCTGTGCCAAGAGAAAAAACTGCATACCTTCTAGGAGAGAACAAGGCATTAAAAAGGGGCCTCACCCTGAGGAAAACCAAGTTCCATTTCTAAAATATTGCATATTTTGCAGATGCATCCAAAAGAGCTATTGATGTGACCCCATCAGCAACAAAGTTGAGGT